GTCCTTTCAGATTTTAAGAAATCAAAGATGTAGGACACATACCATTAACATCACTGCACATGTGAGAATGTGTAGTATGTGTGTATGTGCAGTCCTTAAGTATTTCTGTATTGTTTTTGTCTCTCTAGCAAGTGTTGAAAAGAGGAGGGAGATAATCCTCAGGGCAATTGGTTTCTACCTGATGAAGACCCAAACATCCTCTTCAAAGAAAACCTGGTTGGTAATTTCAGTAGTTACTACCTGCATTAAACCAAACGGCTACAGTTGTGGTCAAAAGTTTACATACACTTGTAAACAACATGTATTTCATGGCAGTTAAAACCAACTGCCATGAAATACATGAAAATGAATTGTGATTTTGCCTGACATAAAGAAACAAAACACAGACAGCTTGTTACGTCCCCGGCTTGTCAAGGGGTGGGGGACTAACAGAGATAAATAAATCGGGTGGAAAAACAAAGGATGACCCAAAATGTGTCAAGTTAATGTAATTATTCTAAGTTAGTAACAAAAGTTGTTTTAACAACTGAAGGCGATCTCTGCTCACATTAGAGACGATATGGGGTTTGTTATGTAAAGTAAATTAATTAAGATATTCAGCGGAAAATATGCAACACAATACAGAGTCTCTACGGCTCCCACCGCGCTGGTGAGGCATATGTGGAGATCGACGCTCCTCACCACACCGGCTTCTAGCTGGTCGTGAACATGGGGCCGATGGCTGCCTCCGCAGAGTCACCAGACGCATGGCATGAGTAGTTAAGATCGGCATCCAGCAGATCACGTCTCGCTACGGACCACACAGTAAGTCAACCACGCAATAAGTCACACAGTCTAACGCGAGCAACCACGGAAGAGTGAGCCTGAGAGCACTTCACTGGCTCAGCTTATGTGCCCCACTGATTGCCGCTGATCAGCTCCAGCTGCGGGATTTACGCAGCGCCAGGCTCAGGGCCCAGGTACACACCTGCAGACAAGAGACAAGCACAACCCACAGACCTCATGGGTCGTAACACAGCTGTTTGAATAACGGCTGCTACTAAACTTTCACATGATCAACAAAAATCAATATGCAACTAACGTTAATGATTTTCGCCCACACACTGTGCAGCACGGTGGCACATAGCTAGCGTCCTCAACTCCTTCACAGGACAGCTACGTGACAGGTGGCAGTAGGTGACGGTGAAAATGAGCAGAGCAGAGGAAAATATGAGTGCTACATTTTAGTCTGGCTGTAAATGTACAGTGTAGGTTACAGTTTGTCCGTTAATTAAAGTCTGTCTGTTCTCCAACTGCTGGAAAAGTGAAGGCAGTTAGCGATAGGTAACGTCTCCTCTTCAGACTGCGGTCTGGAAGCTGAGCAGGACGTTTTTTGGCCGTAAGTTCAAATTTGTTTGTTGTCATTCATCCACATATTGAGTACACAATGAACCCAATGCCGTTTCTCAAGGCCCATGGTGCTCAATACAAGATTACCATAAACAACTTACAAGACAAGAAACAAACATGTAACTACACTAGACGAGACATTACATTTATTCATTTAGCTGACGCTTTTATCCAAAGCGACTTAGAATTGCTATTTAGATTGCATAGTTAAACCAAATCTGACTCTATACTAATAACAGCAGCATCAAAAATAAAAATATCAGCAAAAGAGGTCAGTAATAACGCTGTAATAATGCTATGCAATGTTAGCTGCATTTATATGAAGTAACATTAAATATCTGCATTTTCAATACTACCTATTTGTTTGATTTGTTACAAATAGTTTTGTCTTACAGTCGCATCGTAGAATCATAATCGTAATGAGGTGACTAGAAATTCCCACCCTTGAGGTGACGCATCAAGATTCAAACCAAATTGTTGATCTGATAATCGTAATTGAATTGAAGGTTGCAGTAGACTGCACGCCCTCCAAATAAAGTGCTTGGTGAGGTATATTAAATAATACACAATTGTATCTAATATTTAATTCACCAGCACTACTTCATCTTGTAATTTTTAAACACATAGCACTGTATCATGCTATTTTTGTTAAATCATTACATAAAGGACGCCTGAAATGCAAACATTACTCTTTAGAATTCTGCAAAATCTGTTTGTGATTTCATAATTTGTTTTTCTTTCTTTCTGTCCTATGTAAAGGATCTGATGCTACAGCCGTTCCGAGGGAGCTTGGACAAGTTATCATTACAGCATCCGTGTTGAGGGAGGTGATGCTACCACTCCTCCAGCTGATGTTGGGATAGTCACCGAGGGTGCTGAAGTTCTGCATGACTTGGGAGACATCGCCTCTACACATGCACTCTTAATAGGTGTAATTATGCACTGAACCTCAGTTATCCTCAGAACCTTAAAGCCTTCTTTGAGGTACTTCACAAGTGATTCTTTCAACTAGATGCTAGCAAACTCTCAACCAAGGTACAGATGCTCAAGAACAAACTCTATGAATGAGCCATCCATTGATTTGGATGCTGAGTGTTCTGCAGAATAGGCAGAATTCTAAGCAATGCATCATCAAAATTGTTGACAACTAAACATTATTTTGCAAACTTTTCAACACTTTATAGTGCTAATAATTTTACTGTATTATTTTTTTCACCAATTGCACCAAAATGATATTGATGTGTTGGTGAATAAAGTCCATAACAAAATTCAGTTGAAATTAATTTGTGTGGGACCAGTTGACAAACATTTGATTTGTGTAAATCTAATTTGGAAAAAAAATATTGAATGAAAACCTAATGTTTTAATTAATTGAACATAAATGTATATTTTTACTACTCAAAATAAAATATTGAAAGGTAAGCTTAAATATACTGTTGATCAGAAGTTTTTTTATTTTTATTTGGATCAATTGACATTCATTGTGTTCCTCTTATACAAGTTCATTACATTTTTTTGCTTTTAACTAACCTAAAACAATTTTGTGGAATCTGTTGAAAAAATAAATATAATTAAAATCAAAGCTTCAGTTTTTTGAGTGAACTAAGATGGGAAAACAAATACACCTTTTATGACCATTTGATTTTGATACATAGCCCAAACACCAGTAAGCTGTGCATCAAGACCTAAAGAGAATAGGTCTTTTTAGCCTCAAATGGCCTATAAAAGTAAACCCCATACATTAATGGGAAAAGTTTGTAGATGTATTGGATAATTGCTTGTAATTACTATAAAAGTATGTTTATTTGAAGTAAACCCCATACATTAATGATAAAAGTCTGTAGGTATATTGAATAGTTGCTTTTAATCACTATAAAAGTATGTTTATTCAAAGTAAACTCCATACATTAATGGGAAAAGTTCGTAGATATATTGGATAGTTGCTTGTAATTACTGTCAAATATTGTTTATATAAAGTAATCTCTATAAAAATATGGTTTTGCAAGCTATTATCACGTGATCTTTGTTATTCCACAATTTAAAAACTAAATTTAACAGGAAGTTACTATTAATAGATTGGATAATCCCATAAAATAAAAGCCTAAAGCTTTCAAGATACTGTTAATGAGTTTTAAAGCACGGTATTTTAAGGAATTTTTTATAAATTTTTTTGTGTTTTAAATCTAAAAATCTGTACTTTGATAAGGAGTTCTTGTGGATGGAATAGATAATCTTATGAATTTACCAAAGAATACTGTGTAAAAACAGCAGACACTTTTTAACTGTGTAATTTTAAGGTATTTCTGCAATATTTTTCAGTTTATATGCAGATTTATACATTTGTTTAAAATTCTACAGACATTTTTTAAATTAGATTTTCTTTTCATTTTACAGCAGTTGGACTGTAAAAATACAGACAATGTTTACAGTAAATATCTGTATTTAAAAACAGAATTATTCTGTAGAATAATTTAAGGTTCTTTACTGTAATTTTACAGTAAGTGTTTGGCAACTTTTGCTGCCAGACTTTTTACCGTTATTTTACGATTGTTTTTTTTTTTTTACCTTAAATTTAAAGTTTCACAGTAAAAAACAGGAAGTTGTCTTAATTTTAAATATGTGAATTTCTCTGTCTTTTTACATAGAATTCAATGTAATTTTACATTCAGGGCAATTAAGCAATGGAATAATCCTGTAAAAAAAAGTATAATTTCTTATTATATGAATATACAGATTATAACTTTTATTTTATGGTTAATGTTTTTAATAAAAGTATTTTTCTGTATTTTCATGGTATTTATATGTAATGTTGAAAAAACAGAAAAAATCTGTAAAATAATACAGTATATTTCTGTGAAAAAACTTTTTTTTTTTTTTTTACAGTGTACACATGGCCTCATTAAGTCATAAATACAGGAGAGAAAACTATTTGGATCAGACTTGGATGGAACGAGAATTGGGGTTTTTCACTTGACTCTCAGGACTTTCATAGTTTTGCGAAGGAGGACTGACAAACTAGCTTGGAAAATGTATCTTGGGTAAACTTTCCCAAATCCAGTAAAGAGCAGGGAGCTCTTGCAAATTTTACTTGATGTGCCAGTTTAAGAAAGGCTAAGTTAAGTTACTAAACATAAGTAAGCTAATCAGCCAGGCATGCCAAGATTAGCAACTTCAGGGGAAAAAAGCAAAAAAAAACAAAAAATAAATAAAAAACACCCTGCGAACACTATCACCCTGGAGGTCAGCAAATATTTTCAACTGCTGTTAAGCTGGTCTTCAAACATCACATTTCCCAGCAGTAATTATGTCCTTATAGTGGCTGCTAGATTTTTACTCCATAATTGTTGCAATCAAAGGTGCAAACATAAAATGCCACTTAACTGCTATAATGTAAGTAGGTACATTCATAAATTTGGATTAATTTACACCTGCTTTGCCTCTGCAAATTTAGTATTTTTAGGAACTATGAGCCTCCAACAGATCCTGAATGCAAAGACATGATGTAAGGCATTACTTACATCATGTCTTTGCATTCAGGATTTATGTTTTTTATTGTTTATTGTAACACTTCAGCTGTTCAATTTAATTGATGATGCACATTATTCCTGTAATACACAAAAGTAGATTAAGTAATGACTGTCCAGACTAAAGAGAAACTAGCAAACAGTGTCAGTATTAAACAAATCTTTGTTTACATGCCAAGATATACTCTAAATCAGAATACTGAATGTAAATGTAAATACATGGACATAGGTGGTCATTTTCTCATGATAGCTTGCAGAGTATAAACTTCTTTAAAGAGTTAAGAGAAACAATTGAACTAGTTAGCATTTCAGAAATGGATGGTTTTAAAACATCACATCAAGTCCAGTAACAGTATAGCTATGTTACAGTTCAAAGAGACAGATTCAGATGCCTAGTGCGTATCTGCAGATCAAGACAATTATTGTCTTTTGTGGGCCATAAAATCTGCTTCCATTTCTTCTACAGATTATGTCCATTATCTCCACAGGTCAATTATTTCTGCAAAGCGCATTATTACACATCATCTGATAGTGCTGTTTAACCATATAACAGCATTATTATTGTGTTAAGTCTCATGAAATAACAATTTGAGACTCATATCCTGTATATTACATCTCTTTTTCCATAAGCAGTAACAGAAGTGGGGGACAGGATGTTATGAAGAGTCACATCAGATCCTTTGCATTAAGAATCACCACAATCTTAATTTGCTCTGTTCTGTTAATGTAAGTGGATGCAACCGAGCATTGATTTGTGGTCATATCTGATCCTCTGCGATAATGTCTGGTCCTCCTATAGATGGCGCTAACTTTCCTCCTAAAGTACTGCCCTGAGAAGACATACAGCAGTGGGTTCAGGACACTGTTGAGAAAGGCAAGATACACTGAAACCTGCCCCCCTATGTCGAGAATGTGGGACCACAGCATCTCATTCAACACTTGGACATCACACAGTGTGTCAAGGAAAGTGAACACCTGAAACGGACCCCAACACAGTAAGAATAATAGTGTGACGGCATACACAAGTACTGTGGCCTTTGTGTCATTATTGTCATGGAAACCTACACTCTCCCTCCTCTGAGCTAAAGCCTTGATTATGTTCACACTGCTGTAAACAATGACCAGAACAGGGAGTACAAAGCCCACTATGTTCATCAGAATCTGATGGGCCAACTTCCAAGCGCTGTTATGATTGTAATCCAATATACAGGACATGGTCTTGAACTCCTCGATGAACTTCACCTTTCTGTGAACCATGGTGGGCGTGCTCAGTATAAGGCCTAACATCCACAGGATGAAGCAGATCACCCTGGCATAAAGTGTCCGTCTCAGCAACCTGGCCTTCATGGTCTTCACAACTACCAGGTAGCGGTCAACACTAATCATGACCAGAGTGTAGACGCTGGTGTAAAAATTGATAATGATGACAGAGTTGACCATTTTGCATAAGGCATCTCCGTAGGGCCAGTTAAAGTGATTGAGGATGTTCATCGCCCAGAAGGGGAGGCCACACAGGAGAATAAAGTCAGCCAGGACCAGGTTGCTCAGGTAAATCTCAGCTACAGTCAGTCGATCCCTGTGGGTGAGGAACACCACCAGGACAAAGCTATTAAAAACGAGGCCTAGCAGGGTTAAGGTGAAGATGTACGGAGGGATGATTGCATGGATCATCTCCCATTCTTCAGAGATCGGAGACTCTGATGAACCGGATGGCAGAGACGCACTGGTGTTTTCAGACCACAGTGTTGCCACAGATACAAGGTTCATTTGCTCCATGGGCTAGGAAACAAAAACAAATGATAAAACCTCATCAGTAAAATGCTGTTAAAGTAAAATTATTTTATTTAAAATGCATGAGGCGTCAGACAGCATAACTGAATATGTAAAGGTAACAATTTCCAGTTTAAACACAATTAAATAAAGAAAACATGTTGTGAAATGATACATAAATGATGTAAAATTGTCAACATGATGTCATGTATCACAGGCATTTAGTTCTGCTGAGGAAAACAGGCAGCCACACATTAACAAATTCATTATTTAAGGCCAAGCTGATTATTTTGCAAAGAATGTTTAGCACCATATTTTTAAAGTACAGACTTTGATGCTCAAAACTAAAAGCAGGATGGAACATGAGAAGTTCTTACCATACGTTTCATGAAAATGTTCTATCCTAAAAGACGCATCTGGAACAGGGCTCATCTGTGTACACTGAAATCTTGGTAACAGAACACAGTGAGCCAGAAGGGAGATCTGCTACGAGCATGTTTGTATATAGAGTTGCATTCCTCCACAAGGAAATTAATATATCAACTTGTTTATGAAAAAGTCATGTGCACATGTTAGAGACAGAAACTGCAGAGCACTAAATGTGTTGGAGAGAAGTTAAAACTCCAGACAGAATTGGTTTTTCATAATGACTGATACTGTATATCTTTAATATGAAATTTTATTACTTGAAAAGTAAAATGACCACTTGATGTGATACTGATATGCAGTGTTTTCAAATAAACATTCTCCAAGGTCAAAGAGAAAAACAAAATACTTGCGGTTCATACAAATGTAGTAATCACTTTAATTTAACCGATTAACAGAATTATTGCCCAGTCTTTAGTACCTCTGTCTAGGCTTTGATGTTGATACAGGTACTTAATGCTGTGCTTTTCAATTTATGAACAGTTGATTTACAGTTAATCTTTTCTAAATGTTTAACTAAATAAGTAGTACAAGTTGATTTATCCCTATGCCAATTTATCCTTGATGTTTATTCTTATCCGAATCTATTCTAAGTCAAGATGATGAAATGTAAAAAGTAACATGCTTGATACAGCTTAAAACTAAATAATGACATTGGATAGAATACAAAATATAAAGAATGCTTTTTGTCAGTTTGCAAAGGAAAGTGTAAGCTGAAAGTGAGTATGGTTGAGGCAGTTGCATTCCTTTTATGGTCAAAATGACACTTGAATCCTGCAGTCCATTAAGACAGATAAACTATTCTGAAAGGGAATCTGGCTCATTCTCATCCTGAGTATATCCAAAGTTCTTATCAAAACAAAGACACCTCATCCTTCCAATGCTTGTAGATGATTTATTTATTAAAGACAACAGCACTCATATATTGGATTAACTTAAAAACATGCAAATTTATATTTTTAAAGCCTTTGCAGACACCTTTTCTCTGGAATACAAATGTTTGTGTTTGATATTTGTTTTATTCCATTTGTAGTTACAGTATATTAATAGTGCAGAAGTAAATGTTATATTGTAATATATACATACACTAATAAAGTGACAGGTTAGTACACAAAAACAATGGATTCATCAACTCAAGTGTTTTCTTTCCATGTGTTACATCTATTTGAGTTAGATCCAGTTTCAACATGGGAAGTCGTTCAAGAACATCTTAGAAAACCAACTCAGTTTCCTGATGGTTGCTATAAAAACAGAAATTACAGCCTCAGAACATCCATGAGAAATGGTTCCAAATTTCTTAAGCTTTGTTAAGACAACCAACCTCGGCTTCGTTTAGCGTGAAACACAAGTTAAACAGCTCTGACAGGAAAGTACTGTTTATAATAGTAAAATATGGCATCACGTTCCAGATCGACAAACACGACACAGTATAATAGTAAACATTAGACAAAGTTAGTTCACAAAACCATGGAGCTGCAAAATTTCACATAAAATGGTTGACTTTTAACTTTCAAGATCTTGCATTTATAATGTATTTTACACCTCAATAAAAGGGACTTCTTCTCTTAAATATCTGCCCAAAAATCCAAATAAAGCCATATAAAGAAGATATCTTACTTATTTTTCGCCTTCATGCCAAGAGTTAAATGAAAAAATTGATTCCTCTCTTAAGTTTATACAGTAAATATGAAGCTGGTTATCTTAGCTTAGATTAGAAACGGGGAGACAGCTGGTGTGGCTCTGAATTCACCTCCCAATACATCTAAGCTCACAAATCAAACATCATATCTTATTTGTTTAACTGGTACAAAAACAAAGTGTAAAATCAACATGTTATGTTTTTAATAGGAATTATGAGCCAGAGTATTCTGGTGATTTTGTATACATCATACACCATACAATGTATCAAGCTTTAGGTGTTGTTAAGCAAATTAAACTAGCCTTAATCTGTTTCCCCATCTTTCCGGTCTTTATGCTAAGTTAAGCTAACTGGCTACTGGCTATAGTTTCATATTTTAATCTATAGATAAAAGAGTGGTATCAATCTTCTCATCGAACTCTTGGCAAGAAAGTGAATAAGCATATTTCCCAAAATGTTAAATGATATGATAAATGATATGGCAATAAGTAAATAAGTGACTGGATAATGGGATGTCTATATAAAAGACAATAATTGAATGTATTTGACAAATCTTACAACTTTTTTACGTCAAACTTTTTTGTGTAGATAGATTTAGATTTGAGTACTCTCTGTTTGTTTAGTTGAGTTGAGATTAACATTGGAATGACCAGACTTTCCCCATTGCCATTTCCTCCTGCACAGCAAATGTCTAAACACTTCCCTCGCCCTCTGCTTGAAGTGCTTCCCCACAATCACATACAGGAAAGGATTCAATGCGCTGTTACTATAGCCAAGGTAAGTAGCTAACTGGTTGCCAATGTCCAACACGTATGCCCATGTACATCCAGAGATGACTTCATAATAATCCAAGGTGTCCAACAAGATCAGGATCTGGTAGGGCAGCCAGCAGAGAATGAATACAGCCAGAACAATGAGTACAAGGCATGCCGCCTTCCTTTCCACACTGCCTCTGCTGCCTTTTCTCATGTTCTGGCTGGTCCGAAGGACTTTAGTGATATGGTAACTACAGAAGGATACAATAGGAACAGGGATAAGGAAGCCTACTATGCTGACAGTCATGTTGAAGCGCAGTCTCCAGCCTTCATGGGGATACACTAAGTAGCATGCATCAATGCCCAGAGGGGGGTAGAACTGGACAGAGCGGAAGAGGATGGCCGGGAAGCTGAGCAAGACCCCAGCAATCCAGATACTGAAGCAAATCCCACGTGCCCAAAAGGACCGTCTCTCCCTCTCCTGGGTTAGAGGTCTAGTGAGGGCCACGTATCTATCCACGCTCACAAGTGTAAGGAACAGCACACTGCAATAATAATTCATCCCAATGACAATGTTGATAAGCTGGCACATGGGCTCCCCAAACCTCCAGTGGAACTTATTGATAATGGTTGCTACCCAGAACGGCAGGCAGGAAACCATGAGGAGATCAGCTGCTGCTAGGTTGCTCAGGTAGATGTCAGCCACAGAGCTGCGCCGCTTCTGGAGACAGAACACAACCAGCACAAAGGCGTTGCCGATCACTCCAAGAAGACAGATGATGGACATATAGGCCGGCTGCATGGTGTAAACCCAATCCCAGGCGTCTGTGTGGTTGCAAACAAGCTCATCTCTTGCGGCACTCTCCATAAGTAACCCACCTGCTGTACTGTAGATTACTGTGAAAGCTGTTGGACAGTAACAGAGATTTTAGAGGTTGAAAAATAAGGGCGTATTCAAAAGTAATACATTTACCAGTAAAACCTTTTAACTGTGTCAACACAGTTTTAATGTATGTGTCGCTACCTTCACATTATAATTTGAGTTCCACAGTGTGAAAGGACAATAGATCTAATGGATCTAATGGAGTGTGGATAATGTTTTTTTATTAGTCAGGGCGCACAGCACACACATGCCGTCTCTAAAGAGGGGAGTCTTAGCAACAAAACTGTATAAAGCATCTGTTACTGAAAAGCACCGAGGCCACACATTCATACCTGCAAGGTCACATATAGTATGATAACATACAGAAGTCCAACTGCAACTTTAATTTTTTGTGTAAACTGAAGATTAACTAAGATGATACAGCAGCTATCATCATTTTTTCCAAGATAATTTTTTCCAAGAGAATACAATAGAATGAAGGCATGTGGCGAAGCATTTCTTATGGCAACTGTTGACTGACATTTGAGGGACAGCTTTATTAGGGGAGACACTGTCAGCTTACATGGATCTCACTACAGATGTGTATTGTATCTCTCTCCCTCTTACCCAACTATTATTTTAAATGTTTTAAAAACTGAGGAGATGTTTCTGGACCCTTGACGAGTGGGAGATCATAGTCCAGTGGTCATACATGGTGAACTAATCAATCAGGTCTGCATCTTTCATCAGCTGGAAGGCCCATGGTGAAAGTGTGTGTTCTTGTTTACAGCCAAGATTATACCTTTTATGCAGACTCTCAGTTTATGGTGGATCAGAGGATTACATTTTTTATTCTACCAGGCTGTGTTAGAGAACATAGTCGGGTATGTGATGTCAACATGGTATGGCTAATCTCTCCAGTCAATATATTAGCAGACTGTTCTCAGGCAAGCACAGAGAATACTGAGAATACTTCACTCACTCGCTTATTTCTCCAACTGTTTCTCATCTCGTCTCTCATGGTGTGTCATTCGTGAATAATTAGTTAATTTTGAACAAATTTTTTGTATGACTCTAAATGAGGGATTTGTTCATTTCCACACATTCATGCATGCTTTTGCATTGTGCGGCCTCACAGAAGCAAGTGCACTCAAGACTTCAGCCACAGAGCGGCTAACTTCCAGTTTAGCCCTCCATTACTTTGAATGGGGACATAATGATTTAATCGTGTGGCTCTTCTAGACTTTCTAAATGTTATTGGACTGAATGAACAAAATTCTGATTCTGAGTCATTTCACGCGTGTTGTGACTCAAAAAAATTTTTACAGCCACTTTTTTCACTAAGGGGAAAAGTTTTTTGGCCCAGTGTGCATCATGTGACAATACCTGAAGTTGTAATTCCACGGTTTGTCCACTATGTCAAATTGGCTTGTATGGTGCACTTCCTGGGGTTTACAAGTACTTTTGTCCCAGATTTGAAACTTCCCCCTGAATAGCCAATGCGGATGCTCATATTAACATATCACATCCAACTATCCAATCAGGAATATCATTTCACTATCCATTTGGTTAACAATCCCAAAGTTTTCTATCTGGAGATAAAAAAATAAAATTAACTTATTACAGGAAGGTAATGTGGATGTGGTTAGATTGCCAGATTGGTAAAATTGCCAGCATTCTCTGCTAACGTTAATACTGCGTTAACTAACTAACTTAGCCAACAGGAGCTACATTGAATTTGTCAATCAGGTTGTGTGTGTCCATTATAACGATATTTGGTTTGCCTTGTTGATCATCTTACAATTCAGCCATTACAGTGACGTCACCACAAACTTCTCTTCATGTAAGGTGAGTATCTGATCCTGTCCTGTTTTTTTCTTTCTTCAGAAGTTTAGTTTTCAGTGATACAAAAATCAGATCAATTCAGTATGTAGGTTTCAATTGCAGATACCAGGGAATCTTTCTGACAGTTTCAGGATAAACACAGAAAAATGAAAAACGGTTGAATTTCATGGCCTAGAAATGACCTTAAAAGGTGTAAGAATTACTCTTTTAATCTGTATTTTTTGTTCTTATATCTAAATTGCATTCCAAAAACATATAAGATCCAGTGGTATTTAAGTATTGTGTAAAGCATATTTTGGTATCTAAAATTACCCTTATTTGTAACATGAAGGTACTGTACAGTAAATATCTTCTTTCAGAAAACAGGTGCCTACTTAAAAAAAACATCCAATGGCCATTAATTATTGTCTGATTAACATCAGGTCCTGTGGTGTGACATACGTTACAAAAAGAAATCTCACATTATTCATTGTATACAACTGCACAGTTTATCATAAAGCCTCATAACACAAGCCATAACATATATTCCAAGAGTATATTCCACACGATTTCCTCAATGCACCTGACTCTGTCATATTGGTATTAAAAACTATATGTTGTATTCTGGCTGTCACAGTTCTGTAGTGGTGGGTGTGTATTTCATGTTTCCTGTACTTAGTAATGTCTGCCCTCTAGTGTTCTTGTCTGGTTTTACTTCCTGTGCATGTCTTTCACTGATTGTCTAGTGCAGGGGTATTCAATTAGAATTCAAAGAGGTACAGTTAGAGAAAATTTCCACATCATAACGACTAACTTGCGTTTTCATTCAGTGCCATAACGTATAGTTGTATACATATGTTTTTAGTCAAACACTGACAATATTTCAACAATATTCAGTTTTCACATCAAACTGGAGGGATAATAATAAAAAACTACTCTAATAATAAATTTTAAATTTTGCTTAATTTTAAAAATCATAAAAAGTGTAGCTTGAAGTGATGAAGTGCAGTCTTAATCAATTTTATAATAAACACTCAACACATCTTAACAAATGAACAGCTGTAATGCCTCCTCTTCTCTTTCATTCCCTCTTACAGAGCTACCACTTCCCTACTTTCTCTTATTCAGTGAGAAACATGAGCTCTTGCTTGTCCTGCCAGCTAGCATTGGAGATCTATGAGATATTCTGATTCTGAACTGCCCGTGGGAGGAAATTACATGTAAAAATCTGTACATTCTTGATTAAAAGCCATGTGAAATCTCTTTTCTCTTTCGCCTCCTCTCTCCATATGTGTTTCCAAAACGTCTCCGGTGTATCGCACTCACAGACTCGCAATGCCTGTTGGAATGCACAGATTTGATTGGCTGAGCAGCCTCACATGAGGCGATTAGAACACATGCGATTGGTCTGTGAGTTTCCTGGGCCGTTAAATCAGTACAGTAAATGCTAGAAAATCTGCGTGGGTTAAAAAAAGAAACGCTCCATCACGAGGTAGTAATTCTCAATAATAAACCGGCTGTAGGTCAGCGGTCAGAGAGGACAGCGGCTGGGTCTGGATCTGGACCGCGGTCCGCCTATCAGTGACCTCTGGTCTTGTGCTTTCACCTGTGTGTGATTATGTTCACCCCCAATAGTGTATTTAGTTGGTATTGCTTTCCTACTTGTTGTGTTCATTGTTCTACACTTTGATTGTTTGACTTTGGCCAATCCCAGTGTCCAGACTTTGAGGTGCGTTCCGATAAATACGTGAGGCGTTAGGGCTGTGCCACTGTCAAATTGTCAAGTGTGCGAGGGCTCTCTCGCGGACATTTTGAGCCCTTTTTGCACCCTTTTCGTAAATCCGCATTTCTGCAGACTTTGCCTGAGGGAATTGCCCACATTTCATTGCGTTGTGTGACGTGAAATACTGGGGTTACCAGTGGAAGCCCGGAAGCAAGAGAAAAACAGCAAATCTGCCTCATAAGAGAAGAAGAAGAACAAACAAGCATGGTTGATGTTAAAATTGTTAGAATGTTTCTTAAGATTTAAGTTGGTACATAGAACACATGATGTCAGAGGAATGCAATCACCTTATTACACACTTAGTTTATTCAACTGTTTATTTTAGTTTTTGCTTGCTTGATGCTGTTTTGACCAACAATAGTGCATCTATTATTGACAAAAGACTGAGATTTACCTCTCCTCCTCTATGTAGGGCAAGCGCCTGCAGGACTTAAGAATCAGTCAAAAACATAAATAAAACGTGTGCAACGTGTTTCAGCGTCATCAAGGTAACGTGATAATGTGGCAAAGTGCTGTCCCATTCCTGTTTACAGCATCTTGAGCCCTTGTAGTCTCTTGCACTCAACTACTTACCAAGTGACATCATTGAAGTCTGTGAGGGTTCAGGGCTTAGGGCTTAGGGGGGGACATTGGGATTGGGCCTTTCCGTGTTTCATGTCTCATGTCTCTCAGTGCCATAGTCTCTGATTATATTTTCTGTTGGACATATGTACTACTCACCCATTTCTGTTGGTTATTGTGCTTTTGTTTTTCACTTCACTTGAATTTTTTACAGTTCACTTAAATAAACTCCATTAACTATACCTCCTCTTTGTGAGTGTCTGCATCTGGGCCCTAAAACACCTGTTTCCCCCTACCTACCTTAGAGGATAAAGCAAAGTTTTGTTTCACAATAAAGAGACAAATCATAGAAGATTCACACTATATCCATTACAAGTGTTTAAGAACTTGGGAAATTTTGGCACAAATGGTACCATTGGTGGTATTACAGAACACTGTCTCTTTCCATGTGTAGTGAACAACGATGTGGATTTGTGCATTTTATATTGAATGAATGTGGAGCTACCCTAAATTCCTTTCTCCTCCCCAGAGAAGATGGGGAGGGGTCAAAGTTGCTTTCTCTAAGTGCTAGCCCGACCATAAAACTGGCACCTTTTTGATTCCGAAGCTGATAACGCGGGGCCTGACTGTTAAACTGACAAAGGGACACGAGCCAGCCATTGGCATCTCCCTGAACAGCCTATCAAAACTTACCCCACCACACACGTTTCCGTGAAAACTGACCTTATTCTTTGTTTTATTACCACATCAAAAGGATACTCCTTGTCTCACCTAAGTGTGACATGTTCCAGACACTGAACTTTGGATGACAAAGGACTGCATTCTCCAAAAGACTCAAAGCATCTAATTAAATTTAATTAAATCTTTAGTTACCTGAATATGTTTGCCTCTATTTGAGTAGTTATGTTGACTGTTGTTGCTATCTGTTGTTGATATTAGTGCTGAAAAGAAGTTACTTGTGCAGTGTTTTTATTTTCAGCAAGACACTCCTTCATCTAATGTAATCAATGCTTGTTCATAATACTTTCTTACAAAATCCCTTTAGAAATGATGACAAAGAAATGTTTTACTATACTCTTAGTCGCCAGCTTGAATTTAAGGATGAATCAACAATATTCCCCGGTTCCTAAGGAGAGACGATCTTTGATTTAATCCAAGCTTTCATCATGTAACCTGAGCTCCCCCAAGTGGGCGAAATAAGTATTACATGCCCTCATCGGAAATGCGGTTAAATGTATAAAAATCCTGACCAATAATGTGACAATTTACCAAATGCTTAGAACAGTACAACCGTTCAACCATTGAGGTTCGATTGTGGAAAATATTTGATTATAATACGTGCAAATAGATTTCTTTTCTTTAGACATTAAGTTTAGAAAGGCAGTTCCTGGGGAAACCTGAGATGCCCCCTGGGGAACCACGCCCCAGGCAACAAAAGAGCGACACGCGACCTGCTCGCCAGTCTCTTCCCTCTTCTCGCTCCTCCACTCTGCCCTCTGGATGCTTCGGCACGCGCGTAGCGTGCCTCGCCAGGCCACACGCCCAGACTCGGCCAGCGAAACAAACAAGCCTTTGTTCGCCTGAAGCTACACACCTGAAGTGCCGAGACATCGATCTGCCTTCAGTTTGTTTTATTTTCTTTATTTCTTTTGTTTGTTAAAGTTATGAGTCCGTTAAGTTACACTGGACTAGTTCAGGAACGACCAAGTTCCATTTTAAGCCTTTTTCGTCAAGCCAACTTCACCGAGGTCAGACCAAGCCACGTGGTCTCGCCAGCTGCAACAAAGGAAACCTGCAAACAGCCGAATTGCCAGACGGAGGAGGCGTTTTCAATCAGACACGGAGAACCCCGGAGAATCCCTAGCAAAAAGCCAGGATCGGCAGCTAGCGTGGGACCCGTGCAACAGGCCAAAGCAGGCTGTCGACAAGCATAAGACTTAACACACGTCCTGTGATCAGATGTCCATTTTAACTCCTAAACTATAGCATTAGTTTACTTTCATTAGCTCTTCTATGCCGTATGAGTCAAATGCTTCCCACAATCGAACCTCCAGGCTCATTGTTCAGCAAATGTTTATGTTCCCTGTATCCAACCGTCTTTTTATCACCTTAGTTAGAGAATAAATTCACTGTAATATAATCAAGAGCTGTGTGTGTTGCCTATTTATAGTTCCTGCCAAGAGAATTGACCCTTTAGATATGAGGCTGACTGACTGATTTAAGATAATTGAGCGATTATTAACTAACTGATCACTAGTAATAATTGTATAATTATTCAAAACTACCTAGAGGTCCGGAGACTCTAGGATTATAACAACTCCGGTGGTGCCCTTTACGAGGAAATTCTGATTTTATGAATAATAATTCATAATTGGGTATCAATTCTCATAAATTTATTAAAATGCATAACTAATAAATTTAGGTCCACTACACATGCATTGTGTAGAAAACAGTTTATTTTATCTGATGATACTGAAGCGTCTGCAAGTACAGATCGTAGCCATGTCTGTCTGAAAGTGATAAGGGGTCAACCTCAGACTGAAGCACTGTCATCTCTTCATCAGAGAGTAGTGACCAGAACTTGACTGTTTGAAGTGTCAGGGATCATCTCTGCACCATCCCCATTTGAGTCTGTAAGGCCCTAAGGATGAGGGGGAAAAAAGAGGGGTTGGTTAATGTACATGTTTTTATGAAAAGTATTGTTAAAGTGGACAATCATAAAGATTTGCAGACAGCACAAATGATCACCTCAAGGTATTCCTCTTCTTCAAGTGGATTTATAATGCCCTATTTGCCAATGTTCATCAGCAGTGTAGTTGCGTTGTCTGCAGAGGGTGAGCAATACAGCCAGCTTCAAATGTTTTGAGGGATGCGTGGAGACATGGTAGAAAGATTTAGTGAACAAGTAGGAGGTGCAATGTGAGATATCCAGGAGACGGCATCAGGTGGACCTATTATTGCTAATCTCTAGCAGACTTTTATAATTGACATATTATTATTATTATATTGCTTAGCAACACCAGTCTAGCCTTTTCTTGAAATATATGTTAATAATGGGAATAATGTTCTAGCTAGCGTGATATATTAACATATTAGCTAAAAACAAGCAGGCTCTACCCACCTACTAACGTTAGATTCAGAAGCTCAACTTCATTTTCTCTTGTAGACTCCTATCATCAGTGTTTTGGTCTCCAGAGTTATTCCAGTTAAAGGGAGAGTAAGTGATTCTGCAGAAGAATTGTTGATCTTTGATCTCAACTGCCAAACAAATACACCCCTCCCTTCCATGCCCCCTCAGAAGCTAGCCTCTTAAGGTTTCTCTAGCGTTGAAATGCCTTTGTCTTTGCGTGGTCATATAACTTTCTTCTATGTTTATACTCTTCAGATCTTTTGCTCTTTGGCTGGCTCCCAATTTTCAATTTCAACTTGCTTTATTGGCATGAATGTTACAGAACAGTATTGCCAAAGCTTCATGGAAAATACAAAAGAACTCAAAGAATTCAATTCATACTGTTCATTAAATAAATAAAAAAACAGTAAACGTGTGAGTGTGTCAGTAGTATATAGAAGTCATTTTATGTTTAGGATCAATGAAGAAACTACAAAATGGAAAATATAAAATAACAAACTCATTAAGTAGACAAATAAATCAAAAGGCAGAGTGAGTTGTGGGCAAACTAACTGCAGCTGTGATTTGTTTTGCTGGTTTTCTCTCAGGCTGTGACAAGCACTGACATATCTTGCTGCTTCTATGGCGCTGATTTTCTCCTAGTAGATGGTGCATTTTATTCTGGTCAGAGAGCGTATCAAAATAATATAATTTTTCTTAAGAACTTTGTTCTGATATGTTCATATGTGTTACATTATAGCAGGAAATGTTGCTCTGTCTCCACCTGTGTCTGTGGACAGAGCTGACACAGCCGGTCTTCTCTGGGCAGCCAGGTCTGTCTGTGTTGGCCAGTCTCTATGACCAAGCTGTGGTTACAGAGTCTGTACGTAATTAATTTCTTCCTCAGTTTCTGATCGCTCTCAGTGCTCAGATACTCTGCCACCGGGTATTGTCTGTTTAGAGCCAGAGAGCATTGAAGTTTGCTTTGAGTTTTAATGGTAAATGTCCAGTAGTTAATGTCATTTTCTTAGCTATAATCTGATTGAACCAGATTGTGTGAGGGCTGTCCTCAGGCCTTGTGCTGTTAGGACAGCCCACACAATCTGGCACTCTCTCTCCTACTGGTGAAATTATATTACTGATTGGATAGTCAAATGATATAATTCTGAACATCGATCCCCACTGGCCATTCAGGACGAAGTGTCAAATGTGGGATAAAAGGTCTTCTAACTGTAGACTTGATTTGTACCTTTTAAACTTGGGATTCACACATACAATTTATTTCTGTGTGAACGTTCTTCACCCACAAAGAGATGTATAACTGCAAACTTTTGTGCAAATCTTCTGTATGCGCTCGTACATTGGACATTTTTTTCATTTCTTTTTCATTTCTTCACAAAATGTCATGTACTGTTACAGATCTTTTTACACATTGAAACATTTAATAGATTTGTATAGATATTTTTTTTCCCATTCATAAATTTTAATTTATTCGATCATAACATTTTTAAGCATTCACATATGATTCAGATATGGCTACAATACTTTGACCCTATATATATTCCATAATTTGTGATACTGGGTTCTATATATAAAATTGAATTGACTTAACATGGTATGTTGTTGACAGGAGCTATATAGCCTTCAAACATTGATTCAAGATGCCCCCTCTTTTTTAACAAGCCCACATACTGTAGCAAATTTTTATGTATCATTCGCCATCTGTCTCTTCACAACATTCAACATTTGACCATTATAGAGTAGACTAACTTCTCCTGTGTAATCATTAGCAGCTGCTGCACACCCATTGTTGTGTTCATCCTGCATTATAGAAAGGTGATGGTCTAGTTAGCATTAGATGTTTTTCTTTCATGGGTTCAGTTGGCAACCATTATTCACATTAACATGTTGTCCTGTGACCTAAAAATGTACATAAGTCAAAACAAACTGAGGATATACATTATACAGAATACTGATTTGTTAGCAAATAAATTTTGATTTAAATTTGACAGCAAAATGTAGACCCAACTAACACCTTTGAACACATCAGAATATATATTCCAAACTGGACTGAAGATGTGAAAAGCATAGTAGAATAATCCTCAAAGGCAGACTAAAATACATGGTACCAGGCCAAACTGTGTATTTTTGGCATACATTTTACCCTTTGAGGTAACTTTGTCTGCCTGCATGTTTTTTGTTCCACAACAATTTCCAGCCCTGGCAATAGTGGTAAAGCCTGACTCCTAACAGAGATTTCCTGTTTGGCATGACATGCCTTCATTTTGGGGACAACTAGGGGTGTATACTTGCCCACAGCCCACAATGAGTCAACATTGGGCCATTAAATGGTGGTGTGGGGAAAAATGTATAAGGAGACAATTTATGTCCATACAGCCAACAAAAATGAGCACGTTTGTGTGTCACCACTGGAAAATCTTTGACAGAATCCTGTTTTTAACTGTGCAGACAATGAGTCAGAAACACCAGAAAACACAGTTGTTAGGACTCTTTCATGTTCTGGTTGTTGTGCTCAACTTAATATTTGAATACATTATAAAGATTCAACAAGACATCTATAAAACAATATGTATGTTTTATTTGATGGTTGTGTACAGAGAAAAACTAATACTGGTATTATTTATAATCTGAGTTATTAGCAATACAAGACAGAATATGAAAACTGTATTTACATACATTATTTTGCAGCAACCAGGCTGATTTAATTTGCAACATCTGTACATTCAAGATACTGATACCAATGTTTGTAACAAGAGGCTAGATTTAAGTTACACCATGTGGTCAAACTGTTATAAAAGTGAAAAAATAAATTACATAATTATTTAACATGGTTGAGACACAATAACACTTGTTAGCTATCTGTAACACCTTTTTCAGGAGGAAAGATTAATTCAAGCCTTGTATGTTGACGAGACGGAATTACTACACAATTACATCTACAACAAATTATTGTTTCATCCATTGACGTAAGAGGATCAGTATTTTAAACCAAAGTCTTCAGTGTAGAGGACAGTGAACGTGTAGATTCCGAGGTCACTGTTCTCTTAATGCTCCACTGCTTGAAGACTTCCCGAACTTTTTTCCGGAAATTCTTTCCTACGATGACATAGAGGATGGGGTTGAGAACACTGTTGAAGAAGGCTAAGTAGGTGAAGATCTGGTTGCAGATCTCTAGGACAGTGATGACGTGACACCCTCCCAGGACATCAGCTCGTAAGAGCACGTCTAGTGTGGTGACCACGTGAAACGGCACCCAGCAGATCATGAATGCCAGGAGGACCACCAGCACCAGAGTGGTGGCCCTCTGCTCTGTTTTCTCAGCATTGAACCTCTCTATTGCCTGGATCTTCAAAGCCTGAATAATCTTGACAGTGCAGTATAAGATAATCGAAAATGGGATGATAAAGCTAAAAACAATCAACATCCCATCACAGAGCAGCTCTACAGTGTGGTTTGGGTAGTCTAGAAAGCATGCATTTACATCGTACTCGGGAAAATATTTCACTTCCCTGAAAATGAGCGCGGGGACACTCAGGAGCAAGCCAAAACCCCACATCAGCAGACAGCCCAGTTTGGCATATTTTGGCCTACGCATCCTGCCATGGGACATTGTATGCACCAGTGCCACATAGCGATCTATGCTGATCAAAACAAGGAAATAGATGCTGCAGTAGGCATTCATTTTAATGCCCAGGTTGACGACTTTGCACAAGAACAGACCAAAAGGCCAGTTGAAACCATTGGCTACATTGACAGCCCAGAAAGGCAAACAGGACACCAGGACAATGTCAGCAGCAGCCAGGTTACTCAAGTAGATCTCAGCCACAGTGCAGGCCTTCTTATGAAGGCAGAAAACCATCAGGACAAACACATTAAACACGATCCCCAGCACCGTGATGAGCAGGATGTACACTGGCTGCCTGGTGTTGAGCCATTCCCAGGAATCCGGATCAGGACAAAGGCTGCCATTGGTGTTGTTTTGGTCTCCATGTAAAGCTGTAGTGCTGAAGTCTGGGATGCTGTGAAGATAAATGAACATATACATCAAATCAACAGTTTCACATTTTGTCAAATACACTTTTTTTGCTTTCTTTCCAAGAGTTAGATGGTCATATAACCATACAGTAAATACACTGCTCAAAATAATAAGGGAACACTTAAATCAAACATTATATCTCAATGAACAAAATATTTAAAAATTTCAAAATCTTTACTGTTCATTGTACAATTTGTCGAGAACAAAATGTAACAACAGTCAATGGAAACCAAAATCACCAACCAACTGAGGGCTGGATTCACGGCAACTCATCATGTGACTCAGTAGTGTGTATGGCCCCCACGTGCCTGTACGCACTCCAGACAAAGTCTGTGCATGTTCCTGATGAGACAGCAGATGATGTCCTGGGGGATCTCCTCCCAATCATGGATCAGGTTATCTGTGAGCTCCTAGACCAATACCACCAGGACCAAGACGTTCTCAGTTGAATTCAGGTCTGGGGAACAAGAGCGCCACTCAATGGCATCAGTGCCTTCATCATCAAGGAACTGCCTACACACTCTGGCCTCATGAGGCCAGGCAAAGTCCTGCACCAGGAGGAACCCAGGGCCTAGTGCACCAGCAAGTCTGACAATGGCTCTGAGGATTTCATCCTGGTACCTAACAGCAGTCAAGGTACTACTATTAGCATGTGGAGGCCTGTGCAGTCTTCCAAGGATATGCCTACTGAGACCATCACTGACCCACCTCCAAACTGGTCATGCTGGATGATGTTGCAGGCACTTTCACATCTGTCACATGTACTCAGTGTGAACCTGCTCCCATTCTGAAGAGACTGGGGCGCCAATGGCGAACCTGCCAATTCTGGTGTTCTCTGACGAATGCCAATTGAGATGCACACTGCTGGCCTGTGAGCAAAGATCCCACTAAGACTAGTTGTCTTGCTCTTGCCACTTTTATTTGCACCAAAACAAGTCACAATCGCTTATGCTTCTTACTGGACAGATTGAAATCCCTGAAGTTAAATTGACTTATACTGTGATGATTAAGTGTTCCCTTCATTTTTTGGAACAGTATACAGTATGTAGTGGTGGGGCCAGCAATCCTCTGCATATAACTAATCTTCAGCTGACCTTTTTGAGCTCCAACTACACAACCAATCATAAAACAAAACAGTGTATTTAAATGTCCATCTCCAAACTATACTGCTATTGGAATTATTGTTGCATTGCAACCTTGAACTGAACCACCTACCAGCCTGTCCTCCACCCATAAATCATTAAGTAGCAGTCTGTTTCCACTGTACCTGTGTCTAAGTCGTGTAGCTCAGTGTTTGCCAATAATGAGAAACAGGCCTGGCTCTGTTCACCCTAATTCCCCTGAAGGGTCTGATCTTGCTCTGCACAAAATTAGATCTAACTAAACTTTGTTTAGCACTTAACCATTCTGTCAAAGTCAAATGCAATTTTTAAATGAAACTCAACACATATGAGAATGTTTTTTTAATGTATGAAAATAACAATCAATAGAGCTGCAATTTGAGAGAGAGAGAGGACGTTTTCTTTAAATGTGTCAGTTTGTCACAGTTTGTTTTTGTAGCTGCACATAGAAGACACGAGCCCTGTGGCAGTGTGAACACTGCATGCATAAGTAACTGCTGCAAAGTGCAACATGTGCTTTACAGAAACTAAATATTTAATGTTTATAAAGTTGATTGTCTTTAGTGTGTCTTCTTAAACATGGGGCCAAAACTGAGCTCAGATGAATTAATGTTTCTGACACTGAATTAATGTTTTTGTGAAATTTTCCATTCCATCAACACATCTGTTACTGCTACTTTTTGTGTATCAGCATTGTAAAAACAAAACATTTAACCAAAATGTATATATCAAAAAAGAGATGGGGTTGTTGCTCATATACACTAAAGGTGTTTAGAGGAAAAGACAAGACACTAAAAGACAAGTCTCTACTTGTAGGGACAATCCCAGTTTTTCTCCCCTTCTCTTTGAGTTTGTTTCAGCTTGACTCACTGTACTTTTTCCTGTTACGTTTCAATGCATCTTGTTGCCCTACATATTTTGATGTATAATGAATGTGAACAGCTTTCTTCACACATCAATACATTATTAACAAATTTCTGTACTTAATTACATAAAATGATCATAAAGCACAACACTACTGTACATTGTAAATTCTCAATGTTATAAAATAATAATGTATCAATGCGAATGTGAAATATTTTTCAATATATAAACCATTACCTTACCTTGTAGGTTGAAGAGTCATTCCTCCCAAGTAAGTCCACGTGTTAAACGTTCAGCTACACTGCTCCAGCAACCTCTCTACTCTACTCAGTCTGTCTCTGACTCAGCCTCTTAAAGGAAACTGTGATTACACTGATGTCAGCCAAAATGTCTTTCATCTGCTCTCTTTTTCTCCCCCTCCTGTTTCTCCTAAGTAAGATCATACACAGCATGTCTATGTACTTGGGATCTGACATATTAATAGTTAGTGTTTACTTGATGTTTTGTGACTGGATAAAGACTGCTTTTGTAAATTTGTTTTGTAAATTGTGAATGTGTTCAGATAGTTATTCCAGCTTATGTTGGAGGTGTTAAAGGTGAAATAAAGTGTGTAATTAGAGCTATGTTTTTAAATCTCTCAGATTTTGTTTTCAGTATTCTGCCTGCATTAGCGACAAACAAATCCATTTTTTTGCACTGCACTGTATTTACTGTAAAATTATTAATTACTGTGAACAACAACATTTTAATGGCTTCAGAAGTGCATTATAGGGATGTTGTTACACAGTGAAGCCTTAGATTACTGTGGGAAATCTGAAACCATGGGACAGAAGCATTGCATGAAAACACAATGTAATGTCATTTTGCCAGGCACTGTGTTGGCCAATTAAATACGCATTCTTGAGAAATCTTAGTAATGTGATTTCCATATTTCTACTTTTTACCTTTTGATCACTCATTAAAAACATGTTTTTTGCGGGGTTGCCTGGTGAAAGCGGGAATTGAGTTTGCTGGGATCAAACATTTATGCACATTGAGGTTTTGACATTGCTGCTGCTATGTACAGTCTATGATTATCATTTCAGACTGTTCTCCAAGGCGAAACATTTGGCTACTACAAGACATCTGAAAAAACATACCTTCCAACTAACACATCAACCAGGGCTGCCCTCTAATAGTCAACTAAACCGTTATTATTTATATTATTTGTGTGAACAGATGAGCGATCTGTGTGTAAATGTGTAATCTATAAACACTTTCCACAAATACAAAATGAAGATTTGTAAACTCACAAAAATATTTTGCAAATAGAAAACAAATTCTACAAATAATAAAAATATCTGTGAATATATTTAATAGTTTACAAATAAATTAACCACATTTGTGAATATCTTAACATTTACAACTTTCAAATAGGCATTTGTGAGTCCAGTTTTAATTTACAAATTGTTGTAAAGTATTTGTCACTTTCAAACAGGCATTTGTGTGTCCCGCCTGTATTTGTCGATCTCAGTTCTTCACAGACGGAGTTTTGAAACAAACTTTCCGCCGATGGAAAAAAAATCGACTCGTGTCATTCGGCTGTTTTCGGAGACCACGTGATGATGCCTGCTGATACCCGCTGATGACGTCATTTCCACAATTCAAATTAAAACAGCCTCTGAACTGCCTGAATGTGCGAGCTTGTTGCTTTTGCGAAGGAAATATCAGCTGCTGTTTCAACCAAATGTGAATGCAGACTGAAATTCAACCGTGATGTTGTGTCGGGAGAGGCAGTGATTCAAACCAGCAGTGAGTAAGAAATAGTATAATTATATAACAATGTATTAAGCTATAAGCACAGAGAAAGTCCGCTAGCCGCTAGGCTAATTTCAGCAGTTTGAAAATGCCACTGGCTCTAGCTAATGATGTTGTTTAGCAAAAATCAAACCATGACTATGAGCTGAATGTTGTGGGTGTGAGCTATGTTCGATGCATGTTAGTGGACTGTACTGAATTTACATTTAACCATAACGTTATACTTTTTTTCCTAGTATGGCCAAAAGCCGAATGGACATCGGTGGTAGTTCCTGTCCTGTGGTCAACACCAGGATCAAGAAGTGGACAAAAACGCAACAAACACGAAATTAAGAATTCATAAGTCTTTAATGTATAAATCACAGTTTAATTCAAACAGGAATGTAAACTAGTCATTTTAAACAATTGAGGAGACTTCTTTTTAATGTGCAAATTAAATGCTTAGTAATTATCCAGAAATCACAGAAAAAAAGACACATCAAGTTGGATCGCTGCCCTCTGAACTGTAATCAAATCGAATCTTAAGGTGCCAAGAGATTACCACCCTAACTGCCCAAACAGTATTCCCTTTCAATTACTTTTAAATGTCCTTTAATGTTTTGTAAAACGCGGCTCCAATTGTCCACCACATCTGTTAGGGCTTGTCCATATGATCGCCACTCTTTCACCATGATCACCGTAAGTTGTGTTTTTGTGCTAAACTGCAAAGTGTTCAAAACTCATACAGATTGTTCATAAAGTGAAGAAAAAAAAGTTGTTTTCCTGCGCAAAATGTGTGTCACTTTACTTAAAGCAAACAATTACATGTTATAAGTTCTTATAACTAGTTCATGTGTTGTCCACCTGTAATAAATTATACAGGGATAGATATTTTAACACTTTACTTAAACAAAGACATGTTAACATTAAACATTACTATAAGCTATTATTCCATTTTATATCACTAATTCTAAATTTCTAAAGTTCTAAAACCATAGCCTATAACTGAAATGATGTAGCTAACCTGACTAAATATGAAACTGCTCTACATAGACATTACAGTTCCATTCCACAATATCAAGTGTTTTCTGACTTTTACCCACCTGAATCAAAAACATTAAAGACTGATGAGTTGGTTGGCCCTCAGTGATGACTGCCAACGCAACGCAATAATATAAAAAGAGCACTAAAGCCATTAATTTGTCCCGCCTTCAGAAAGACAGCCACACTGCAGGGATTTGCATGTATTCTCCTTTACTGTATGATTTGGAATAAGAACAAGTTCAGAAAGTCATCCTGCACTGCAGCAGCTTATAAGACAGGCTGGAGTGGATAACAAACGTATCGTGATGTAGTAATGTGATATAGGCTATATGTATGTAGCCTTTGTGTTACACGCCCCAGGCACAGGGCATGTGGACAGATGATAAAACCTGTAAAACAGGAGAAATTAAACCTGCTGCCGTTGGTCTTGCCAGGTCTTGCCAGAATTTATTTAATAAATACAGTAATTTAAGTAAATCAATAAAGTCCCTTTTTGATCATCACTCATTTTCAACTAAATTACTACATACATAAATTTAACAACATGTATCTGTCAATAAACACAGATTCATACACAATTATGACAAATAATCCACCTACTCATCATACCTTGTATTGTGAACATATCACATATTAACAGGGAAAATAAACCTTTCCTATATTATCAAGGAATGTAAACCTTTCACATATTAACAGGCTAAATAAACCATTTAATAGTTCTGTAATAATTGAGAGAGACGTTGCTGTCCTCAACGGTTTATAACGTTCCAGGCAAGATAGTGACATTTTTAGCATTAAATTGATATGGACGACCTTTAACCGTCACAAAACATATTTTTATAAACAAAATACAAATAAAACACTTTGAATATAAAATGAAGAAAATGAACAGGAGCTGTAAACATTAACGGTGGGCATTTATATTGACAAGGGAGCTGGGAGTTTGGAGTTTGTTTTACCGTTACTGTCATTCTACTGTCCACATATAAAGTTGTCAATGACCTGGTAAAAACCTTGGACAATAAACAGCACTGTGCAGCACTTTTGACATAGTGGACCATAAAATACTCCTTTAAAGACTCACCTCTATTGGACTATCAGAACAAGCAGTGGGATGGTTACCTATCAGGGAGAACACAATGTGTGCAAGTAGACGGCCTCACTTCTGCCTCCCTAAATATTTCAAAAGGGGTGCCTCAAGGCTCAGTCCTTGGGCCTCTTCTTTTTATCATTTATACAAACAATCTCTGCAATAATATAAAAAATACAAACTATCATTACTATGCTGATGACACTGTTCTCTATTGTTCTGGGTCCACATTCGGTCAAGCAATCACAAATTTACAGTCCGCTTTTAAAAAAAACTAAAGTCATGACTTTCACTCTGGGAAAATCAACTAAAAACAATGTCCTAACCATTTGTACACTTTCTGGTACAGAAATTGAAGAAGTGTCACATTATAAATACTTGGGCATTACCATTGACCAATCTTTTACATTGCATGTCCAAGATCTGGTTAAAAAACTGAAATTGAAGTTAAGGTTTTTTTTTTAGAATCAAGTCCTGTTTATCTTTTGAAGCAAAAAAACAACTTATAAATGCAACATTCTTGTCTGTCTTGGACTATGGTGATATTTTATACATGCATTCAACCTCCCAGTGTCTTCATGCTTTGGACACCGTGTTTCATGGAGCCTTGAGATTCAACACAAGCTTAAAATCTCTCACTCATCACTGTTTGCTGTATTCTCGGGTTGGGTGGTTCTCCCTCTCCATTCGGCGTTGAATGCATTGGCATCTTTTTATTTATAAGGCAGTATTAGGACTTCTTCCTCCTTATCTGAACACTTACATCCTCCCGAGGCCTGCAGGAACATATCACCTGTGCTCACAGGATCTGTTTTTATTGACTGTCCCTAAAGCCCGCACTGACTTTGGCAAAAAGGCTTTTAATTTTGCAGCGCCATCTGCATGGAATCAGCTTCAGAATGAACTACAGTTGAAGGAGTTGGTCTCACTTTATTCTTTTAAAGGCTTTTTAAAGGACCTTGCAGAAAGGCAGTCTGTCTGTCACTGTTTTGATTGAGGATGTTATTTTTTAAATGTCATTGTTGTTTGAATATGATGAGTGAAAATGTGTCTATATATTTACCTGTAAGTGTCTCTGTATCTATTTGTAACCGCGCTGCTGCCACTTGCCAGGACACTCTTGTAAAAGAGATTTTTAATCTCAAGGAGTTTTATCCTGGATAAATAAAGGTTTGAATGAATAGCAGAGTATAAGTAACTTATAATCAAACTACACAGTGAATACAAAAAAACAACTTAAACACAAGAGATAATGATTTACTATGCCTATTTATTGGCTTTGTGTAGAAGAAATTAATAACACAGAAACCTGCTGCCAGAATGGCAAGATTACGACAGCTACGTCATCAAAACAGTCCCCAACCGGCAGTAGGAAAGCGCTCTGCTGCCCCCTACTGCCTGTAGTGGAGTACATATTCGTATTCGTAATGCGAAAACATTGGAGGACTTTGGTGACTCAACATCAAAAGATCTTGTTAAATTAAACCAATAAAATGTGACCAAACATTTTGTGTGCATTACATATGGCCTATATGAAGTGGGATCAAACATAGTGTTAAATGAGCTACAGAGGAACCTAGTAAGTGTCCACTGTTTTCCTATAGGCCTACTCTAATTACGCAGTAACAACGTTACACACATTCTTCCTCAGTATTTACACAGAAACAACAAGACCTGGGGTGGATTATGAAAGGATTTTATTATATTGTTTGAATTAAACTGTGATTTATATATTAAATTATATATTCGTTGTTGTTCTTTTTGTCCACTTCTTGATCCTGGTGTTGACCACAGGACAGGAACTACCACCGATGTCCATTCGGCTTTTGGCCATACTAGGAAAACAAGTATAATGTTATGGTTAAATGTAAATTCAGTACAGTCCACTAACATGCATCGAACATAGCTCACACTAACTTTTAACAAACATTCGGCTCATAGTCTTGGTTTGCTTTTTGCTAAACACCATCATTAGCTAGAGCCTGTGCCGTTTTCAAACTGCTGAAATTAGCCTAGCGGCTTGCGGACTTTCCCTGTGCTCATAGCTTAATACATTGTTATATAATATAATTATACTACTTCTTACTCACCGCTGGTTTGAATCGCTGCCTCCCCCGACACAACATCACGGTTGAATTTCAGTCTGCATTCACATTTTGTTGGAAGAGCAGCTGATATTTCCTTCGCGATAGCAACAAGCTCGCACATTCAGGCAGTTCCGAGGCCGTTTTACTTTGAAATGTGGAAATGACGTCATCAGCGGGAGTCAGCAGGCATCATCACGTGGTCTCCGAAAACAGCCGAATGTCACGAGTCGATTTTCTTTCCATCGGCGGAAAGTTTGTTTCAAAACTCCGTGTGTGAAGAACTGAGATCGACAAATACAGGCGGGACTCACAAATGCCTGTTTGAAAGTTGTAAATGTTAGAAAGATATTTACAAATGTGGTTCATTTATTTGTAAACTATTAAATATATTCACAGATATTTTTATTATTTGTGGAATTTGTTTTCTATTTGCAAAATATTTTTGAGAGTTTGAAAATCTTCATTTTGTATTTGTGGAAAGTTTTTTATATTTACAGATTACACATTTACAGACAGATTGCTCGTCTGTTCACACAAATAATATTGAAACATAAATACCCCCATAGTTAATTAGAAGAGTCTTAGTCGACAAATGTTTAATTAGTCACAGACAGAAAAACTAAAACTGCAAACTCCATTCAGGAACTGCGCCTTGTCACCAGGACAAAAGTATCAGAGGACTGTTGCAACGTGAAGCTTCTCTCATGTAACACAGATGTCACTTATCGGTGCTCACCACTCTGCTGCTAACTCCAGCTGCCATTTGCTATTTAGCTAGTTAGCGACCCTATTAGCAGGCTCTTCCCAGACTTGGAGCGCACTGTATTGGGGGAGTGTTGGTGTTTGTTTACACAACTAGCACAGGACCTTTGGAACACCAGTAGGAAGGAACTGCCAAGGAACTGCGCCGGAATGAGCACCAGAACCAGAGTCAGAATGAGGCCAGTCCCAAGGTAATAGAGTGGCTCCGGCCAGGACTCTGAAATCGGGTACAGGCGGGGACAAGAGATGCATCAAGTGGGAGAGGAGCGAGTTTGTAGCGAGTTACTTTGTAAGTTATGTTATAGGACTGGACATCCATCCATCCAACCATCCATCCATTGTCAACCGCTTATCCTGCCTACAGGGTCGCGGGGTAGGGCTGGACAATTTCACCTAAAATCAAAATCATGATTAATTGAACATTTTACCTCGATTACGATTATTGAAAGATTATTCAATAATTACCCTCATAGTTTTTAACAAGGTTTTTACTGTAAATATGCTCTATTATTAAAGCTGGGTTTATTTATTTTTTTGATTCACCGTTTTTTTTTTTTTATTATCTAAATGTTATTTTATGAGGTAATGTCGACGTCCACATTATAGAGACACGGTTCCCCTATGTTTGGCGCATCGCCAATGCTGATTAATGGACACTGCTACTAAAATTTCACTCATTTTTCAGTAACTTTTCGATTAATTGTCCAGCCCTATTACATTATAATCCGTTGTGTTAAGTCTGCAAGTATTTGTTGTTGTTAAGTTGGAGGTTACTTATTTCTTACTGTGTTGAAATAAATTAACAAAATGTTCAGTCTCATTCAGAATCATTACCGCTTGTTGTTAACAGGTGGCTCACTTTGGGCGTGTGTTTGTAAAATGTAATTTTAAAGGGGCCATGTGTAATTTTCAGTGGCCTAGCGGTGAGGTTTCCTTTTCAATTGTGAGCTTGTGTGCGTGTTCAGACTAATGAGCAAGCCAACAGAGATTGACATACTGGAGACAGCAGCACACAAAATGCTGGAAACTCAGGTAAACTCCCACTACAACATTATAGTAACATTTTGCATAACATTTAACATATAAATTAATGAATGTTGCATGATAACAGTACGTTGACTGCATTTATCCGTACTTGAACTCAAACCATTTTCTGATGTCCCCAAAATATGTTGTATATATTTAAATAATTAAATTAATATCATAAACATGCAACTAATGGCTTGAACTAACTAATAGTTGACTGGGAAAATCTTTAGTCGGGGGCAGCCTTAGTGTCCACAACCTAAGACCCTGGCCCTGCATGTTGCAAGTTTAATGTGAAGATGTTCCTGTTTGTCTTTTATGAGGGTGTTTTGTTTCCCCAGGTTTGACTCCCCCAAAACCACAGGACTGGCCACACAATGTCTTCCTTGCTGGTGGCAATAGATAGGATTTATAGGTAGAAAGGGTGAATGGCAAAGTTCTGAATTGTTGCACAGTACAAAACTGCAAACAATTCACCCTTTGGGCATCGTCTTGACGTGGCACACTCATCCATTGTTGCTCATGCAGCGTGATCAATGAAGGGTGATTAGTGTTTTTTGTGTGTCTAGTTTGTAGTGTAATAATCCATCCATTTATAAAGAACCTGTTTATGTGGTTGGTGTGTTTAAAATCTACGGTGACTGTAAACCGAGTCAAGAACTCTGTAGCAACCTTCAAATCGATATTGAAATAAATCATTTTTTAATTACAATATAACAAATTGAGTAATTAAATGAATAAAGTAATGCATTAAAACCCCTGTATAGGCTGATGCCCTGTAATGAATAAATCTTTAGTTTAATTCTGTTATTTCATATTTCAGCTATTTCTGACCCTAAGTGGGTGCAGATCCGCTACTTCCTCTAACAACATTAAGGCCATTCACTGTGATTAATTTAATATTTTTAAGCCTTATATATAGCTACACACTCCTGCTGTCTTGTATAAGGATTCAGACCCTTCATAATCTACCAAACTAAGATTTCTTATAGGCAAATTCTTTATACTGATTCTTTATACTGTGTACAATAGACATGCATGTCTTAGGGAAGATGGACCTGTGGCTCAGTCTTTGAGCCTGTGATTATCAGTTTATCAGATTATCTTATATGAGGACTGAGATTTTCATTCATCTCAGAGACAGCATGCGGATGAACAACATAATTTGAGAGACATTAACATCTCACAGTGCAGCTAAATAAGCAGAAGGTACTTTAAACCAAAGGCCATTTTCAAATTAGCATTGATTTTAGTACACAATGGGCTTAAAATCAGTCAATAATGTGTGAAAACAGATCTGGTGTGTCATATGCATGTGATTAACATGCAGTTAAAGCATGCCCATGATTGTGAGCTTCCTTGTTCACTGATGAATTTCAGTTTTGCCATTTCCTGTTAGTCCTAAACACACACAGATTTTGCAGAACATCTGCATGATATTCTGCAATGTAACTTAGAAGATGTAACTGTTGACACATGAACCCTTAGCTATATTTTACATAAAGGACCATAATCTAAGTTGCCAGTGACCTCAAAGGGATCTCCAGCAGGTGGGAGTCCAGTAACCAGGCTCAAGCAGTTTGCATTCAGTTGTATATTTCCATTTGGTGGCTGGCGCTATTCTCTCGCCCACCATTAGTTTCGCATGGTAGGTCATAGCAGATTGTCTGTCATACAATCTAATAACAACAATGTATTGAGACTTTTGAAATATTGTTTCTGTCACAGTCTATCCATGACCAGTCTTGTGAGTGTGTTGTGGTTTGGCCAGTCTCTCTGTGTGTGGTGTGGGTGTGGTCTTCCCAGGTTCCTGGCTCTCAGCACAGCTGCTGACTATCTGCCAATCAAGCCCTGGCTTAAAGACTCTGTACACCGGACTGTCAGTGCCAGATTGTTGTTCTCACTTCAGTGGTAACTGCATGGCCAACCCTCTTGAGGACGTCTAATGATTTACCTTGTTTTTGTGAAAGAACCTAGAGTAACATGTTATTCTCTGTCTGCTTCAGCGCCTGGGATCTCCGCTTGCTACACCATTTGCCACTCCGCCCGCCACGCCAAGGCCACTACTACTGGACCTCTAGTCAACCACGCTATCTTCGCTCCCGCAGACAAGCTCCGGATCATTCGCCGACACTATTCCACTCATTGTCTATATTATCATTAAAACCCTCTTCCGAACCTCACTAGCTGTCCCTGTCTGCTCCGTAACAGTTTCCTCCTTTTCTCATCCACCCTTTCCTTGTTTCTTGAAATGATAAGAATCAAAATCATGTCTTATTTGATGGATTTTTCTATTCACTTGTATGACTGATTGGTCTTTGTACAATGAACATATTGTACAGTATATACTTCTCACTCAGGACACTTTCCTTGGCACCAAATGCATACTGGATTTTTCAAAGTAGTTATGCACACACACACACACACACACACACACACACACACACACACACACACACACACACACACACACACACACAAATTACCAACAAATGAAGTCCTATAATGGCCAGAGTAAATATCAAAAGATTTAAATATCGACATCCGTGTCTAGTTATTTTAGATTAATATTGATTCAAGGACATTCCCTCTTGTTGCTTTGACAAATTCAACTCTTCAAGAGACTTCCACTTCAGACTGCACAACACTTCACACAACACTTGTTCTGTCTGGATTCTTCATATTCTGTACTGCTTTTGTGTGGGTGGATATCCATATACTTTGACAAAAATTGTGTCAAAGACAATATAGAATGACACGTAATGACACAAATAATGTTAATTAATCAATTAAGCTATTTTGATTTGTGTTTAAATATAGAGGCAATTCTTGAGGTCAGTTGTAGCATGCTGTTTTAAGGACATGGATAAATGTTTGATCTGGGCCCCTCATTACCTATTTGAAGAGCAATTGATTCACAACCTATTTCCATCTTTATAAACCCTAAATCAATGAAATAGCTCACATCCACAAAATGAACATGGAAAGCTGCCTTTGTGGCATTTTATGTAATCAAATACAGATTTTCCCCCCAAACATCTGGTTCTTAATCTAATATGAGAGGTGGCTGTTTCAAAATTGCCTACAGTGATGTCTGGGTATATGACTTGTTAAGACTGAAGTAAAATTAGTGCAATGGAAACTGACTGATCTGCCATTTTAATGGGCTGACTAACAGTTTAACAAGCAATTAAAAGAAACAAAAACAGGAGGAAGGAGTTGAAAATATTTCCACAAAAAACTGCAGCAAATTGTAATTTAAAGGCACAGTTACTGCATTTCTTGTAATTGTTCGAGCCCACAGTAGTAAAAGATATGTAACCTCTCTTCCTGAGAAACGGCCCACAGTGAACAATGATCTGCACCGTTGCTACACAGAAATACCTCCTGTCTTTTGGCTCATGCTCTCAACGGTTTTTACCAAAACTGCCAATGAAAACATTGAGGTAAGGAGTTTTACTGTGGTGTGTTCTCTGAAGACGTTCATCCTGTTCCTGTGTCTTGCTGTAGGGGTTGGTGGAAAACTAAACTTAATGTAAAATGGTGTAGCTTGTTTCTATTGTATTGTAGACAGTTAACATAAAAACATAAAAATACTGTAAGTAATACTATAATAAATGTTGACAGCAAGGTTTGTGGTTTATCCTGAGTAACAAAAACATTGTTTCTGGAAATGCAAGCTACTGTTGGGTTTTTCAAATGGAATTTTCCAATGATATGGGCACCACAAACGCAATTCCATTGTAAGAAAAGAAAAGAGATCTAAGTTGTGGGTTATCTCAAAACAACAATTAAAATCTTCCTGGTTAAGTGAAGAAACATGTTTTTTTTTGTACTATGCCTATGTCCAAACATAACATTTATTAGATTTAACAGCCTTGTTACTTTAGGCTAATGTTTGTGATTTAACCCTCTCAATCCTTCATAAGTTTAGAGACACTCTATGAATCCTTTACACAGTGGACTCTAACGTAATTTATCAAACTGACAGGTCATTGAGTAATTATGACAATAGAGTACAACTCTATTGATGTCTCAGTGTTGTGTAATGAGGTAAATAAAAAATGTCTAGACAAGGGAGCAGCAAGTCTCATGCTCCACTTCGAAAAAACTCAGCTCACTTCCTGTCTCCTTCTACTTGTCTCCTTTATTTTCCAGTCTGTGAGCTCCATTTCTTGGTGCTGATCCCACCACCGTTCCCTGTTTCATAACTCCTCACAGATTTGAGATAACAGGGCACAGCTCCTCTTGTATCATTTATATATTGCTTTCACAGCTGTCCGGCACAATCAGGGCCTTTGAAAGGAGAGTGCAAGCTCATATGAGATTGCTGCCCCAAAACTTTGAAATTCTCTTCCTCCCACTATCCGATTCTCTCCACTATTGAGATTTTCTAGAGTCTTAAAATATACTTTTACTCACTAGCCTTTAACTGTGCCTAACTTTACCAGCTCAGGTCTCTGTAGTCACAGTAGGTCTCTGTGTTGTCACTATGCTTTAACTATTATTATTATTACTATCATCACTGTATCAGCTGTGTTATGTGGACAGAGCTTTATAAATAAAGTTCAGTTGAGTTGAGAGGTGGAATCAAACCAGCCTCAGGGGCTGATGCTGGGAGTGGCCCCAGGCCTTGTCTCTCGTCCGAAACCACTAATGCAACTTTGACGAGCATTGGGCGATTCCACTAATTCAGCCAGCCATGGAACACAAGGCCATTTCTCCAACCCATGTTTGTAATTTTGTGAGTCTGACTGCTCAGATGTTCCTGGCAAGAAAATACACCATCAAATGAAGGCAGAAAATGAGCAAACCGTCCCTAGGTAATAAAAATAGGATTTAATTTCACATCCCTTTTTCATATTAACAAACCAGCCATCACAAGACATTATGCAATGCACTGAGTCAGCTACCCGTGGGCGGTTGCAATTCAAACATCTGTCGTCTGATTTTGAGTTTTGTTTTCATTATGTGATTTGAACGTTAGAACAAATTAAAAAACATTTTGCCTACACCAGGAAATCTTCCATTTATGGTGAAATAAACATGTTTGTGTGCAGTGACGGAGTTGAAAACTTACGTTTCTGGCCGTGGGTGGCAATAGTTTAGAGAAGAACTGAGTGAGAGGTAAACTATGTGGGAGAAAGCCACTTGATTGGGAATGAATATTTGATCATTCAGCCACTCACAGACTGTGGTTACGACTCCAGAATGATTTTAAGTGTCCACTTTGTCAACATCTGCCAATATTATTGAGAAATAAGGGAATTTTCCCATCCGTGCTGTAAATCAGACCAATTAATGTAAGTGTTCATATTCTGTAAAACCATCTCAGCAACACAATATCTTTTAAACTTCTTTTTAAAAAGCACCTGGAATAATTTCCATAGTGTAAAATATGACTCAACGGAGATGTTTTATTATGATAAAATTCATCTTCTAATATTTTTCAATTAATTTTCCACCATTAAAGGAATGTCTCATAAGTGAAAACTAAAATGCAACGTAAGACAAAAAGATAACAGGCATGTCTTGTTTTAGACAGTTAAATATGGTGTACTCTGATGCCGACTGACAGACTACATTGCCAAAGTTAGCCTCAGAGGTATAAAAGAGATGACTGCTTGTTTTACTGAATGGCTTTTGACAGTATGGTGATACTTACAGAGAGGATTGCGACTGCATATCACGACCTTGTCTCCTTCATATCTTTAAAACGTCTCAAAAACCTTTACAAAAGCTGACGCAATGAAAAAATAATGGAAAGGCATATTTTGTTAAAACTTTCACTCTTTCATTTCAAGTTGCTTCTTATCATATACAGATTAGTTTTAAACTATACAAATAAAAGACATACAGGATATCTGGTTACATAGACTAAGACAGGCAGGGAAAACCCCTCACAACATGCACATAATCTATTTCCTTCAAGTAATTTTTCCTAGTGTGCGTCAACAGACACAGAACAGTCTCTTTCCACATGCCATCACATGAACTGTTAAAACAGTCATATTATATTCCAGAGCATGAGCCTGCAATACAAAAAGATTTACTATACTGGGCAAAATGGATCAGTTTGTACAACATACAGTCTGAACATACTGTATATACTGTAAATATACTCTGTAAAACTTATTACACTTTTCTACATGATGAATTCCAGTATTCCTTGCACTTTTATTCTAACTTGGCAGAAGTGTGAGTATATTTACAGAATAGTGAAGTCAAATCCTTTGCCAATAAAGTTGATTGTGAGTCTACAGTATACATACAGTATGTAATGTGTGTACTCTGACTCTAATCCTTATCATCTTGGATTACCATCTAGAAAATGCTTGATATAGAGCCCTCTAGTGGATGAAATATAAAATGTTCTGATCTTGGAAATGTAATCGACAGAACACTAAGATGTCAGGACAGCAGACTTGTACTTGACTGCCATCAGACATGTGATTTATCTGAGGCTACTGAAATATATGGTTTAATGTGAATGTGATGATTTCTAAAATATAAAACATACATTACAACTTGCTTTCAAACAGTGATGAAATGTACATTTACTAGTACTGCAATTTACAAGTATTGCAGTTAAGTGCAGGTTTGACGTACTTTTACTTGTGTATTTCCATTTTCTGCTACTTTATATTTATAGTACAATATTTGTGGAGGACAAGTATAAAGTTGTACTTTTTCTTACTTCTTTCTTACTTTACTTACTACTTTGCACCACTGATAATATATAATTACGTCGACACTGACATAGGCTGTTCTTCATTATAATTTGATTATAATATTTGTTACTTAAGAAATGTTGTATTGTAACAGTAAGAGTATTTGTACACTGTGGTATTACTACTTTAAATTAAGAAAGGCCCTCAATACCCTACAGCCTTCATTAAAGCAACACATAAATGATCTTACATGTCATGAATCATAAATAACATGGTGGGTATAGGAATTGCCAGAAACAGAAAACAGTCTCCTGGCTCCCTTGCCAAAGTTTCAGCGAGGACTGGATGACAAGATCAGCATCGATCAATCTGTGCTCTGTCAGACATTCATCACCACACAGAGAAATGGACAGGAAGGTTTCCACTGTTAATCCTGATCCTTTTCCTCCCCAATCTCTTGCATTTTGGCTCTTCTTAATCATCCTGTCATTTTCTGTCAGCCTGTGCATCTG